AACGGTTAATTCAGGGGCGGATCCAGTCATTTTTAAAAGGGGGAGGGGGGTTATAATCATATGTCCCCATTCAAAAGCATTGATCGTCAAAAAAGGGGTTCCAACCCCAGGACACCCCACCCCCTTGGATCCTCCACTGTAATTGATTGATTGTTTGCATAACGTCTAGTTGCAAACCATCTATAATTTATGCATGTTCAAATTTAAAGCGATATAAAAAATATTCAGAACAAAAGAAACTAGCAAAACAACAGAACAACAAAAGCAGATATACGGAGGTTACAAACGGCTTTTAAACTGGAGCAAGCGCGAATAGCTTCCTTGTTTGCAACATGTACAACATGTAGAATTAAATGTATTATAAAATTAATTATGTTTGTTCTGTTTGAGGCGAAATAGTTTAAATGTTAGAATTTATGGTAAAAAAAGCATAGAAATAGGAATAAATTGGACGTCTTCTTTAGATATTTGTCTTCTTTTAGAGTTCACCGGTTGTCATTTATCGTGTCGTTTAGGTATTTCTACGCGTGATATAGTTCTTACTCAGATAATTTGTATACATCTAAAATAACATTGTCATAATGAAAACGAGTTTTATCAGATAAAATTTGTTCATTTAATGTTAAACGCTTGATGACATATGTACGATATTATGTTGCCTCATTTGTTAACAATTATCATTTAAAATATTTCGTTTTTTTCTAATTTGCCAGCAGCAATAATGCCTAAGTTTTATGACAGTTCTTTGTTTGAATATTTTTGCGTGGGAAAGTGTCTTTACTATCAGCTTAACTAACCTCGATGTAACAAAAACCCTAAGGTAATACGAGTTAATAGAGGTTATATATTGAACCATTATCGCTAATACCTTCTAGTTCTGATTATAGACAATTCTAGCATCCTATTCATGTACAAGAGAAAATTTTGCTATGTAGCCTTAAGCATATTAACGCATTTCATAAGCTTCTGACTTAATGATATATGTTAAAGTTGTTATTTTAAGTGAAACATTTAGAGCCTCCAGCACAACTAGATTCAATCAATTAGGAAACCATGAGAGAGAGAGAGAGAGAGAGAGAGAGAGAGAGAGAGAGATAAATTCAAAAACGAATAATATTTCTAATACAAGAAGATTCAAATTTTTGTGAGATTTTTTTTCCTAAACAATTTAGTAAGTTAGTAATATTTACACCCTGGTGGCATTTGTTGTAATTGAATATCCTGCTTATATCATGCTTTACAATCAAATAAGATTACTAGAAGGCCACCCATCTAAAGCAATGTCCTTTTGGTATCTTTCGCTAGCTCTCTTTATATCATGCTTTACAATCAAATAAGATTACTAAAAGGCCACCCTTCTTAAGCAATGTCCCTTTGTTATCTTTCGCCTCTCTTTATATCATGCTTTACAATCAAATGAGATTACTGAAAGGCCACCCTTCTTAAGCAATGTCCCTTTGTTATCTTTCGCCTCTCTTTATATCATGCTTTATAATCAAATAAGATTACTAGAAGGCCACCAATCTTAAGCAATGTCCCTTTGTTATCTTTCGCCTCTCTTTATATCATACTTTACAATCAAATGAGATTACTGAAAGGCCACCAATCTTAAGCAATGTCCCTTTGTTATCTTTCGCCTCTCTTTATATCATGCTTTACAATCAAATAAGATTACTGAAAGGCCACCAATCTTAAGCAATGTCCCTTTGTTATCTTTCGCCTCTCTTTATATCATGCTTTACAATCAAATAAGATTACTGAAAGGCCACCAATCTTAAGCAATGTACCTTTGTTATCTTTCGCCTCTCTTTATATCATGCTTTACAATCAAATAAGATTACTGTAAGGCCACCCTTCTTAAGCAATGTCCCTTTGTTATCTTTCACCTCTCTTTATATCATGCTTTACAATCAAATAAGATTACTGAAAGGCCACCTTTCTTAAGCAATGTCCCTTTGTTATCTTTCGCCTCTCTTTATATCATGCTTTACAATCAAATAAGATTACTAAAAGGCCACCCTTCTTAAGCAATGTCCCTTTGTTATCTTTTGCCTCTCTTTTCCAACAGCACCTGCATATAGAGTATACATGACCATACAGATGATACGATATTCAAGAGCCTTTCCTATCATGATTTTCGTGATATGTGGTTGAGGCTTACAAGGAAGCTATTGACCCATGGGTACCAAGTGGTAAGTTTAAGTCATCACTTCGAATGCCATGTGTACCAAGTGGTAAAGTTTAAGTCATCACTTCGAATGCCATGGGTACCAAGTGGTAAAGTTTAAGTCATCACTTCGAATGCCATGGGTACCAAGTAGTAAAGTTTAAGTCATCACAATGTTTTATGTTGACTCTTGTTTGTCATTCTGTCATTTTTCATTATTTTGTCATGGCGTTGTCAGTTTGATTTCGACTTATGCGTTTCAATATGATTCCTGAAGTGTTTTCCACCGCTCTTGAAATAAATCAATTTGTATTTACGATAATATCATGGTGTATCTAATACATAAAACATATCATATTATCTGCATAAGTTCTAATATGTTGCAGTAAAATATGATTTTCATTGTTTATTGATTTTTGACACGTGACTGTTTCACTCATAATATATCATAGCAGAACTTCTAATCTAACATGTTCTTCTAGAACACGTGACTGTTTCACTTATTCTATATCATAGCAGAAATTCTAATCTAACATATTCTTCTAGAACACGTGACTGTTTCACTTATTCTATATCATAGCAGAACTTCTAATCTAACATGTTCTTCTAGAACACGTGACTGTTTCACTTATTCTATATCATAGCAGAAATTCTAATCTAACATGTTCTTCTAGAACACGTGACTGTTTCACTTATTCTATATCATAGCAGAACTTCTAATCTAACATGTTCTTCTAGAACACGTGACTGTTTCACTTATTCTATATCATAGCAGAACTTCTAATCTAACATGTTCTTCTGAACACGTGACTTTTTCACTTATTCTATATCATAGCAGAACTTCTAATCTAACATGTTCTTCTAGAAGGTAAGCGATAGACTTTCGTTTTCGGAATGAAAAGAGACCTGCTATATTTTGCCATATTTCTTTCTAAACTCCTTTCAAAGGACTGACATTGACTCTAAAGAGAGTGAAATGATACTGACATTGACTCTAAACAGAGTGAAATGATACTGACATTGACTCTTAATAGAGCGATATGATACTGACATTGACACTAAATAGAGTGTAATGATACTGACATTGACTCTTAACAGAGTGATGATACTGAAATTGACTCTAAATAGAGTGAAATGATACTGACATTGACTCTAAATAGAGTGATATGATACTAACATTGCCTCTAAATAGAGTGATATGATACTGACATTGACTCTAAAGAGATTGAAATGATACTGACGTTGACTCTAATGAGAGTGAAATCATACTGACATTAACTCTAAATAAAGTGATATTATACCGACATTGAGTCTAAATAGAGTGAAATGATACTAACATTGACTCTAAATAGAGTGATATGATACTGAAATGACTCTAAATAGAGTGAACTGATACTAAACTGCAATCAAAGCCACCAGAATAAGAACAGTATTCGATATCATGTGACCTAAATAAAAACGACGAAAAGACAAAACACTACAAGGAATCTTAATAACAGCAACATGAACAACCTCAAAAATCGTGGATGATATCAGCTTCATGTGCTCTGGAGGGGTCAACTGTTCCTTCTTAAATAATAATTTGATCACAGTTAATTCCTTCTAAAATGGAAACACGTTTTACTGCAACCAAATGCTATAATCAGAAGTAAAGTTATTTCCTACTACATAAAAAACAGTTTATCACGGCAATGAAGAGCCTTCCCCATGTTAGGGGAGGATTGAGCGCTCACCAACATGTTTAACCCCGCCACATTCTTTATGTGCCTGTCCAAAGCCAGAAGCCTGTAGTTCAGTGGTTGTCGTTGGTTCATGTCGGTCATATTTGTTTTTCGTAAATTGTTTTGTTATTTAGTTTAGTTTCTCAATTGAATTGTTTCATATTGTTTTATGTCGGGGCCTTTTATAGCCGACTATACGGTATGGGTTTTTCTCATTGTTGAAGGCCGTACGGTTGCCTATAATTGCTTACATCCACTTTATTTGAACTTTGGTTTATAGTTGTCTCATTGGCAATCATACCTCATCTCCTTGTTTTTATATTGTTCCCTTTTAGACAACTACCACGTATTAGTTATTTTTGTGCTAAAAGGTATACCGAATTTTTAAGCCCTTTTCAATTGATTTCTATTGTCTGTTAATATGTTGTGCTGTTACACCACCGACCTAGATTAGGGAGAGGGTTTGACGCCCGCAAACATGCTAAAGCCCGCCACATTCTGTGTATGCCTGTCCCAAATCAGGAGCTTGTAATTCAGTGGCTGTCGGATGTTGTTGTATATCATATTTGTTTTCATTTATTGTTTTGAACATACATAATACCGTTAGTTTTCACGTTTGAAATGTTTTACGTGGCGTTTCCATATATCAGGCCGTTGGATTTTTGTTTTCGTTTGAATAGTTTCACATGTGTCATTTTAGGGCCTATTGAAAGTATATGTTTTGCTTATTGTTGCAGGCCATACGGTCACTTATGGTTGCTGACTTCTGTGTCATTTGTTCTCTAGTGAATAGGTGTCTCATTTGCAATCAACCACAAAATGTTACTTTTACATAACACTGTTCAATGCAACGAAGAGCAAAGATTAGAAATACTGAAAACGTATGCCCCTCTACTATCGTAGGTCGGAAATAATTAACATTAACATTTATAAAGTCTTTTCCAGCATAAATTTTCTTTCAAATTCTGTGAACCAATCAAACTTAATATCAAAAGAGTTTGGTCGTAAGAACCACAGAGATAAATTTCTAACGACATAAACAGAGGTGAAATCAAATGAGTAAATAAACTTATATAAAACAATAACTGACAAATAAAGAATGTTTTAACTACCTGTGAACTTGCAGAAACAGACATTAAAGACGGTGGTTTGTAGTCTCCTACAGCATCATATCCACAAGGTGACAGACATGTGCGATGTTTTCGCTTCCGGTAAGTCCGACATATTATTACTATGACAACAGCTACAATCATACCAGTCATTCCACATACCACACCCAACACGACAGCAGATACCATCTTCATTGGTATCTGAAAAATATAGAAACAAATGTATTCATTTTTTATATACTTTAAATTCTATTTAAAGGCTATTGTCAGTCGAAACTTGTGGTTTCTTTCCCAACTTCATTTACATTTCTTGTCATATGCTTTCCGTTGTGCTTGTATCAGATTAATAAAATACTGCTACAATGTACGTGCATATTTGTAGAAGAAATCAAACCGCCAAGAGAAACATGGACTTCATAAATTTGTGAACAAAATAAAAGTGCATCAAGTATTTAAAGTTAAAAGCAAAACAAAGATTAAAAGCATAATATGGCTTTGAAATAAGAAGATTTAAAAAAAAATGAGTAGAATACTAAGGGGGAAATCTCAAATAAAAGAAAGACGGAAATTTAAAAACAACACAGAATTCCGTAACACTCCGGGAGAGAACTCTGAATCCTTTCTCAGTAGCACTCAGGGAGAAAACTCTGAATCCTTTCTCAGTAACACTCCGGGAAAGAACTCTGAATCCTTTCTCAGTAACACTCAGGGAGAGAACTCTGAATCCTTTCTCAGTAACACTCCAGGAGAAAACTCTGAATCTGTTCTCAGTAACACTCCGAGAGAGAACTCTGAATCCTTTCTCAGTAACTCACCGGGAGAGAACTCTGAATCCTTTCTCAGTAATACTCCGGGAGAGAACTATAAATCCTTTCTCAGTAACACTCAGGGAGAGAACTCTGAATCCTTTCTCAGTAACACTCCGGGAAAGAACTCTGAATCATTTCTCAGTAACACTCAGGGAGAGAACTCTGAATTCTTTCTCAGTAACGCTCCAGGAGAAAACTCTGAATCTTTTCTCAGTAACACTCCGAGAGAGAACTCTGAATCCTTTCTCAGTAACACTCAGGGAGAGAACTCTGAATCCTTTCTCAGTAACTCTCCGGGAGAGAACTCTGAATCCTTTCTCAGTAACACTCCGGGAGAGAACTCTGAATTCTTTCTCAGTAGCACTCCGGAGAGAACTCTGAATCCTTTCTCAGTAACACTCCGGGAGAGAACTTTGAATCCTTACTCAGTAACACTCCGGGAGAGAACCCTGAATTCTTTCATCTATTAGTTAAGTCGGATCATTAATTGCATGTCATGGTGGTTTTATTTTCAGACAAATTTAATTATTATCTTTAAAATGTACCAATCGAAACAAGTATTTTCCGTATTCACAAAATTATACAGTATTTATAAGACTGTAATGCCACCATAGAATTGGTACACAACCTACCAGTTCAGACAGTTTCCATCATGGAATATTAACTACACTGTATATATTGTTTTGTTTCCATGAACAAATCTGTGTTTATGTTGAATTAGTTATATAATGATGCCAAATACTTAATGCGACGTATTTATGGTTTTATTTCATTTTAACTGTGTAATCAATGAGAAAATCCTGACGTTGCATTTTCTTTAGATATACAATTCAAACCTAACGTCGAGTTCAAATTCTACACGCGGTAAAGCTCATTTAAAAACGTGCGGACAGAGGGATAAACGATAGGTAAACTTATGTTATTCAGTGGATTTCGTTGACAAATATCTGTCATATTTGTTGTTTCGTTTTTTGTTATGATATAAATCCTGATTTTGGTACATACTGACACACCTTTTTTTATGTGCTTAATTAGTATAAACTGACACATATATTGCTATTTCCTTATTTGATATTTATAAAACTAACACAGTATTGGTATGTCACCATTTAGTATAAGCTGACACATGTATTGTTATTTCATTTTTTGGTATAAACCGACAAATGTATTGTTATGTCTTGATTTGGTATAAACTGACACCAGTATTGTAATGTTTTGTTATGTCCTTATTTGGTATAAACTGACACATGTATTGGTATGTCCTTATTTGGTATAAACTGACACATGTATTGGTATGTCCTTCTTTGGTATAAACTGACACATGTATTGTTATATCCTTATTTGGTATAAACTGACACATGTATTGGTATGTCCTTATTTGGTATAAACTGACACATGTATTGTTATGTCCTTATTTGGTATAAACTGACATATGCATTGTTATATCCTTATTTGGTATAAACTGACATATGTATTGGTATGCCCTTATTTGGTATAAACTGACACATGTATTGGTATGTCCTTATTTGGTATAAAATCCAATGTAGATGCACAATGTAACCTATTGTTTCTATTTCTCAATGTTCAGAATTTTTTTCACCATTATTATAATAAAGGAGGTAGATATCAAAATGAATGACGAATCAAGTCAAGTTAAACAGACAACACCATGACCAGAAGAACAACAATAATACTATCAGTCTTCAAATGACTAAACAGAAAATCGAGCTTGAGTAACACGAATCCGAGCATGGACCGGGGGTGATTCCAGATGATCCAGATGAATAAGCTTTTCCTGCTCTATATAGACCGGGGATACATCCAGATGATGTAGATGAAAAAGCTTTTCCTGCTCTATAAGTGACATCATTTGTGTTGCTCAAGGAAAGTCAAAATCCGATATTAAGTGGCATTGAGAAATGTTAAAATCATGAACAGACAATAGTTTAATTAACCCAAACTTTCTATAGCTTCTATAATTACCAGAACCGCGCATGATTTGCATGTATTTTTTGGAGAAATGATTTCGATTATATTTATATTATGCAGTTTTATTTCAGAGAATTTTTATTGCGTAAAGACCCAGGCTCTTTCGTTAAATTAATTGTATATGCAATTACAAATATGTTGTCGAAGCTTTACAATGTAGAATCTCTATTCCTACTTCTGTTACGAAGAAATATGTAATAATTGAATCATTGAAATATTGCCATTCCATGTTAACTCTACAAATGACAGAAAATTAAATTTCCTACGGACAAACATTTCTATATCAGGACTATCTACCCCACATTTATAGATTTTTCTCAATCTTTCTGAGCGGTATTTCCTGTCTTAATAACGAGATGTAATGAGACTGACAAAGGTTGGCTATTATAATTACATTGTTTGACGTCATACCATTCAGTTCTGCTATAAAATAAACATTAAAATCAGCTGTAAGGTGAAAATGGGAAACATTTAATTAGCGATAAATCTCCTGGAAATGATGTTTGTCACTCGAAATTACAAGGTTGCTCTAACATTCGAGAGCAAAGCAACATTAAATTTATAAATAAACAGGTGAAACATTTCTCCACAGGGTACAGTTAGTTCGATGATTCATATAAAAGTCAAACGACTTGTGTTGTCAGTGTTCGACTTGTTAATGGGATACCGTCTTGTTGACGTATACACCACATCTCCTGTTAGTGATTAGTACAATGTAAATGTATTTTATATATTTACATTGCAGTTTTCTGTGTGCCTAAAGAGGTCATTTGTGTTTCAGGGATTAAAATCGACGTATTATGCACCAAAACTTAATCATGGTTTTTCATTTAAACGTGGATGCAATTATATGGCGGGGGTTAGGATGCCATTGGGTGTGTGCCTTCTCTCCTTGGAATGTTTTTTTTTTTTCCTTTATGCAAATACATGGAGTACTTATAGGAGCATTTTAGTATAAAATTAAATTAGAATAATTACCTGGATTTTTAATCAAAGAAATTCACAATTTCATAATAAAAAAAAAAAAAATGAAATGTATTCGCTGAAACTTTCCGAGGCGTCGTACATAACTACATCGCACTGTAAAGTAATTAAATGTCGCTTCATTGGTCGGCTTCTTTTTGTTAACATTGTCAACTATGAAATGTCGACATTTCTGTAATATAACCAACAATAAAACTTACAATAGGTATATGACGAACATACAAGTTGTGATTCTCTGTCACTAATTGATTTATGCCGTATTAATTAACACGTTGACATTTTTCCGCAGAGGATACCATAGTAATCAATAAAAATATTGGAAAAACCTGACGCCTACTGACCTCACATATATTCTATCTATTGTTTTCTAAACTGATGTTAATATCAGTCAGGTAATAACCTCCATGGTAACCAAATTGTCATAATTAAACTTCATAATACTAAATAGGATATATTTTGTAATTTCTTTGATGAAAAAATCTACCCTACTTATCTGAAGTATTAAATCTGCGTATTAAAAGAATCATAATTTACGTATGCTAAATTTACATCAATATGTCGTTAAATGCAATTGGATACCCTGGATTTATCATATGGTTAAATCGCTTAAAGACACCAAACCCCACCCCCACTGCCTCCTAAATTATTGAAAACTATCATTCTGCAACGACAATACTATCTTGGGTGTAAATTAGATACACCCCACCCATTCGGGCTAACTCCCTCGAAATGTATCTAATACATACACCTGTACTTTCAGAGTTTCACATGTGTATGTTATAGATATGATAAAACACTGAAGTCAAGGTTCAAGCTCTTCCAGGTTGCATAAGCGCTGAAAATCGTTGATCATGATAGAAATTTAAAGAAAACACGGGAATTTCAGGCATAATAACTCATACATTATACAATTAATCTGTAAAATCAATTTTCAGTGGGAAAAAAGTACATGTAAAAATTGGAATTCGATGAACCGAAGCCTTAGGCTATGGCAGATATATGTAGGATGTGTGACCTGAAATCTTCCTCCCCCTTTTTTTTACTTCAACTAAATCCTAACCACATCAACCATAGCATAAATAAAATTCCGCTTTCGAAACTGAAAACTTAAGCTTCCTTCGAAAATTTTGAAATTTTTTTTAGCAAAAGAAGTGTCTAGATGCAAATCAAGGTTACGAATAAATTACGAACAAATTGAGGGAATCAGCGCCGCATGAACTCCAGAAGAAGCGAGACCGGCTTAGTCGACAGTGTAGTACACATAATTCAATTCAAACCAAACCAACAAAAAATCATTCTGACATACAGAACAATTTCAAGAGTGATCTGTGTATAACAAAAAAGCATAACAAAAATAACGAACTCCAAGGCACATATAAATTCAAAAAAGGGGAAGTCCATAAGAACTGACAAAGTCAA